GTCAGCTGTCTGCTACAATATTTTCGGAACTAAAATGAATAGTGCTTAGAGACAGACCTCTGGAGAAAGCTTAGAATATTACGGAAAGAACGATACCTAACTCAATCCAGTACAGTCCGATTCAGTTAGTCATAGAGCCTTCGCCGTAAACAGTGTTCGCGAGTCGCTGTAGCGACGCACGACACTATACAAAGTGCGTTACGCGTCGCTGCAGCGACGCATGACACTCGGAGGGTTAGAGCAATATTCAATGTTGACAGTGAAACACATTGTAAGCCATTATTCAAGAAACTTTGAATTTTAACTGTCACTTCTCTGTACATTTTAGATTGTTTACTGTATATTAAAAACATTAGAGAGTTCCCTACAAATGATTCGGTTCATAACCATTTTACCAGACAAATCTCTTTTCTCCGTCCGAACCAATGTAATTTTATGACCACAATCAATAACTTTAGTGAATTTGGCAAAAGATTGTATAATATGTTACCTGCTCACATTAAATGTCTTGAAATACAACAACAATTTAAATTTACTATTAGAAAGATTTTGTGTGATTTATGTGTGTATAAGGTCAAAGAATTTGTAGAACATATTAAGTAAGGTTAATGGATATACTGTGATGAAATTGTATGACGTTGCTATACATGTATTTATAATGTTGATGGCAATAAATGGATTTGATTTGATAACTCAACACAAAATGTAATTCATGAATGTTTATTAAACAAAAACAATAGAAAACATATGATAGTAAAAATAGATATAAATGAAATATTGTACAGTCTTAAAGAAGTTAAAATATTGTTATTAGTGTTATAGACTTCTTACAAAAGACATGTTCAAATAAAATGTTATCAATTTAGTTCATTCCTAATTATTATTGTCACGAAAAGTATAGACGGTCGTGATACATGGCGCAGCGTGATGCAAACCTACAGATCCAACAGGAAATTGAAGAGATAAGACTTCAAAGAAATCAAATCCATGTCAAGCCTCCAGACAATTTTTCCTTCAACCCCTATGATTGGAGTGCGTGGAAGAAACGTTTTGAAAGGTACAGGTCAGTCAGCGATCTACATAAAGCACCTGGGAAAAGGCAAGTTGATATTCTTTGCTACTGTATGGGGGATAAGGCTGAGGAAATATTTGATTCCTTTAATCTAAGGCCTGATGAGTTGGAAAATTATGAATTGATTATGGGAAATTTTGAATACCATTTCGTTCCTAAAACAAACATAATTTATCAGCGTGCTAAATTTCTTAGACGAAAACAGGGATCCTCAGAGTCTGCTGAAAACTTAATCACGGACTTACATGACCATGCAACTGGGGAGATTTAAGGGATGAAATGATTCTCATGCAGCTTATCGTTGGAATGAATGATCGAAACCTTAGTGATCGCTTACAGTTACAAAGCTCACTAAAATTAGAAACTGCAGTTGATGCTCTTCGTAGTTCAGAGGCATTAGTTAGGCAAAAACTTGACCTAGCTGATCCCTCCGTTGATCGGGTAAAATTAAACACCACTTCCAAAAAGTCTTTTTGTAAGAAAACTGTTCCTAATAACCATGGAAAATACAATCCAGGGATCCTATGTAAATGGTGTGGGAATACTCCATCCCATCGCCGAGGCTTGTGTCCTGCCAAAAATGTTCGGTGTAACAACTGTAAAGCAAACGGTCACTTTGCTAAAGTTTGTTCGAAGCAAAAGGTTAATGAAGTCAGTAGTGAACCTCAGTTTGTTAATCAATATTGTACAAGTTCATCAAATTCTGAAGAATTCATAGGTCAAATTACCGAAAACAGTGCTCTAAACCCTGAATCTTGGGAAATTGACCTCAGGTTTAATGATTCTGACATTATTAAGTGTAAAACTGATACCGGAGCAGACGTTTCGGTTTCACCAGCCAATATAAAGCTAAACAAAAAAGTTCCATTGCAAAATACATGTAAAAGACTTTCAGGACCGGATGGGACTCAGTTAGCTGTACGAGGGATGGTAAATGTAAAGTTAGACTATAAGAACAAATCTTGTTTCAAGCGTTTTTATGTAGCGAAAAAATGTAAAACCCCGCTCATAGGTAAAACAGCCATTGAAAAACTTAACCTTCTACAAGTTGTCCGAAGTGTGCCTTCGACTTCGAAGAATTACAGAGAAAAGTACAAGAAAAATAATGACTCCAGGCATGCTGCCAAATCCCTTGGAAGTTTGAAATCTGGAGACAGTGTTTGGATATCTGACTTGGGAAAACCTGGAACGGTTGTAAAAACAGCAATAGAGCCACAATCATATATTGTCAGGACTGATACAAGAGACCTAAGAAGAAACCGTTTCCATTTTCTACCATTTCCCGAAGACTTGAAAAGTACACCATCACGAGACAATGTGACAGAACAAAATTCAACAAGTGTCTGTACCAGAAGTCCAAAACTACGAGAGGACAACTCAAGTTACAAGACTAGACACGGGCGTCAAGTACATCCTCCAAGGAGACTCGATCTTTAAGGAGGGGGATGTTTTAAGACTGCAAATAAAACATGTGTTTTATTTAGGATATTATATTATGATCAGATGTAAATAAATATTGTTATTAGTGTTATAGACTTCTTACAAAAGACATGTTCAAATAAAATGTTATCAATTTAGTTCATTCCTAATTATTATTGTCACGAAAAGTATAGACGGTCGTGATACACAAATCTAGACTGTGATCCGATCTAAATCGTTCTTTTTAGCTTGAAGGACATTCCGGACAAAGTGCGACCAGCAGTCCCAGTTGTCGTCACCCTTCAGCAAGGTCTCACAAATCGATTCAATTGACAGCACCCCAAGATGTTGAATGGCCTCCTGGCGAATCATGTCCCATCGTGGACAGCGGAAAAAAGTGTGTTCCGCGTCGTCGGGAATGCATGGGCAGTAAATGCAGTCAGGTAAATTTGTTTTGGCCATCAAGTGCAGGTACGACTGAAAATAGCCGTGACCTGACAAGAACTGCGTGAGGAAATAGTCAACCTCACCGTGCCGCCGTTCCACCCACGGTTGGACCTGTCTGATGAGTCTGGCAGTCCAACGTCCTCGAGTCTCCCTTTCCCAGCTTTCTTGCCACATCTGAAAAGTGCGGGAGCGCTCTTCTGTTCTTGCAGCGTCCTTTCCGATGTAGCCTTGTCTCTGGTAGATTGCCTTCCTCTCCGCTGCCAAGAGTTTGACAGGGATAACTCCAGCAATCACCAAAACGGCCGGTTCGGACACCGTACGGTACACGGAAGCGACTCTGAGTGCTGCCTGACGCTGCACTCGCGCGAGCCTCAACCTATACGCCTCCTTGTTAAGCGCGTCTGCCCACACCTCAGAGCCGTAGAGAAGCACGGACTGGACTGCAGACATAAATAGTCTTCTACGGCTGGACCGGGGACCACCGACATTGGCCATAAGCCTACTAAGAGCAGCGACACTCCTAGCAGCCTTGTGCGCCGTACGGAAGATCTGGTCCCTTCAGCTCAACTTGTTGTCCACCATGACACCGAGGTACTTGGCGGTTCGCGTGGTTTGGACAACGATTTAATATTATCATTACTTAATGCAGAAGTTAAATCATTTATATAAACAATAAACATAGTAGGTCCTAGAATTGATCCTTGTGGTATGCCTGAATGAACAGAGAGATATGAAGAGAAGCATCCATTATAATACACAGATTGATATCGGTCCGTTAATATGATTGCAAAAAATCCAAAGATGTTTGATCAAAACCATAATATTTCAACTTTTTTAACAATATATCATGTGAGATGGTATCAAAAGCCTTGGACATATCAAACCAGCTACCAAATACTTTGTTTTTAGCATCCAAGCCATTGACACAGCGTTTCATAAAACTAACAATAGCATTACTGGTGCCTCTGTTAGGCCTAAAACCAATCTGATCATCTGAGAACAATGAATTTATTTCAAAATACTTAATTATTTTACTATTTAACAAAACTTCAAATATTTTAGAAAAAACAGGAACTATTGACACTGGGTGATAATTAGCATAATCTGTTTTCACACCCTTCTTAAACAAAGGTACAACTTTAGACAATTTGAGATGAGTAGGAAATACACAATTATCAATACACTGATTATACAAATAGGCCAAAACCTCAACGATAAATGGAGCAGCATGTTTAACAATCAATGAATTAATATTATAAACATCCAAACTAATACTATTACTAAGTGAAAAAATTGCACTGTATACTTCCTCTACACTTACATTACTAATAGAAAAAACAGATGAAATATCTCAGGATCTCTGGTAACTTAGCTTATCAAGATAAAAAGACACATCATGTTTAGAACTAGGTATGCTATGTTAATTAGAACTCACATTACTTAGAAATAATTTATTAAAACTATCACTTGACAGTTTTGTTGTTACATTTTACATGTTAAAATGCGTGCCTTTATAAATTATTTTATAATTAATTAGATTCATTTTAATTGGCAACGAGTGTGAAAATCAACTAGGCACTGTAAAGTTCAACACATTTACTTTTCAAAATTACATTCAATTTCTAGTTTCAAGATACACTATTATTTCATACAGTTCAAACTACTAATGGATGCACAAAAGTTTACCTTACTTCTAAACACATTCAATGAACAGCAAAAAGCACTTGTACTGTACATGAGATGTCAAACACGTTTCAAGCTCAAATTCAAACGATTGTTACATCAATTGGAAAAACCAGAGAAGAATGCTCTCAGTCTACAATGTCAAATGTTACATTAAAATTGCCTTCAAGTGATTGAGTTAGGCTAATAGCATGGACTATATATACCTACAGGCTATATACTATATATATAGTCAATATATATATATATAGCTATATATACCTGTAGGTATATAGTCAATGCTAATAGTTAAAGTTGACTATACCAACACTTCAACACAATGCCTATATATTTTTAAGTTTATAGGTTGCATGATTAAGACAACAGTTATGTTACTCACCAAAGGAGTTGTTAATGACTAGGTCAAGAACACCGCGAGCAAAATTATTAACACCATCACTTTTGTCTACAACTGCTGAGTATTCCTGAAGTTTAGTTTCGAGAATGTGACATGTCGATTTGTTGCTTGATCTAAAACATAAAATTAATACTTTGAAGTCCTTTTAAGCCCAAAAACTATATTATTTAAAAGTAGGCTATTGAAAATAAAACATCATGTAAATAGGAAATCATTAAGACAAAATAGAAGAAGAATAAAGAGTAGGCCTATTTTTATGTTTGTTTAAGTTAGTTAGAAGTTTAGGTTCTAACATGATTATTACAATAGGTAAAGGACTGCATTTTTTATGAATAGCCTAGATACAATACGGAAACAAGCAGAATTTGAAGAAGTTCTTGCGGTCATGGTTCCCGTGGCGGATCCAGAGGGGGGACGAAGAGGGCAACCGCCCCCCCTTCAGGCATACATATATGTATTTTTACGGCATGTAATACAGTAGTGATTATAAGTACATTGCGTAAAATAATTTTTCACACCAACTTTGGACAAAGAAATGGTATAAAACTGCCATTTTGGAGACTTAGTCTGGATCCGCCACTGCATGGTTCTTAGATTTTTATACCTACTGGGGTGGGATTCAAAAGTAATGAGCCTTAATAGAGAAACAATGATTTACTGATGAGATCGGTACATGTGCCTAAAGATCTTCAAAACAAGCCCGTCCTGCGTCAATACACTTTTGTAGGAGACTCTCCAGGTGTTAAGGTGTCCGTGTATGCCTGTTCCGGGATGACTGCAATGACTGTCTAGACAGCAGTTGGTATTTCCTGAATCGAATCAAACCGACGTCCTTTCAACACTGTTTTTAAGCGCGGGAATAAAAACGGTCGACGGTCAGGAGAGACAGGTTCGGACTGTAGGAAGAAATTCAGCATCGACATTGCACATTTAAAGCAGTTCTTGACATTTGAGCACTCACATTTCTTTCTGTTAGACAATCAAGAGCCTGCAAGAATGTGTTGCAACGTGGTTTCTGACAAATTTGAGGCTTCTACCACTTAAAACTGACGGTCAGGGTCAGCGTTTAAAACTCGCACACACGCTGCACATTTTCATCTGTTCAGGCTATTGACCTGGGAATCTTGACTGGGACTCATCGCCAACATCTTCCCGGCCCTCCTATAAAGCCTTGTACCACTTTTTTGTTTGGGAAATCGAAAGACAATAATCCCCAAAGGCTTGCTGAAGCATGGTAAATGTCTAGAGAACTATCCATTTTGCAATGTCATGAATCAACAGACAGAGGTTCACGTTACATTTGCTCTTACCATTCTGAGACCTAGGGGGAACTGCCACTTGTTGCCAAGCGAAGCAAACACCCTCCACCACCAAACGAGACGTCGCACAGCGCCACTCGTGGTATCATTCCGTCAGAAAAAAAGGCTTATTACTTTTGAATCCAACAATATATTACACATGACCGAGTCTCTTTTATTTGAAGTGCCCAATAAAATACCGGAGTATCTTGCTCTGCCTAAAATTCTGATCCCACCCATAACCATAATTTTACATTGTATAATCAAATAAAAGACATATCAGGCAAACAAATTATTAGGTATCTAACTTACTAAGAGGTTAATTTATCTAACTAGAGTAGCTTGATAAACCATGCAAGCTTGATGTGAATCTAGTGGCGGAAATTGTATTTACAAAGTTATATATAAAGTAGCCTGGATCACATCGGGTTTCTCTAAAATTTCAAAACAATCAATAAGATAGGGGTACAGTTCCGCAGAGAACATGCATATATTATCGGATGAATAACGATATAGCCTGTATCTATAATTATCCGATTCAATATAACGTTCCTATGTGTTTTTTTTTTAACACTAAACATCACCAATAGGTACTAGAAAAGAAACCGGTAGAGGCCCACATAAACAAATGACAATATGGCAGGAAGGAACCTCAAATAAAGGGTTGTATAAATCACATAAAACATATAGAAGATGCATCAGCCAGCTGTTAGATTTTGTTTTAGTTTATTTGTTTACTTTTCCGTGAGTTAACCTTTTGATTCTACCCACGAATACTAGAAAAATACCAGTATGAATCATAAACATTTAAACAAATGATGTTTTTGGCCCGAAAGTAGACAAAACCCCTATAGGCCTACTAATAGCATTAATTAGCATACAGGGTGATTTTAATTGTCCCCCCCCCCAACTTTTTTCTACATTTTTTAAAATATCAATCCCAGACCACTTCCAAACATTGTTGGGTAGTAAGTACTTCATTTTGACAAGGTGCTCATTTCCGGCCGCCATCTTGGATCTGCCATATTAGATGCAAAATATTTTTTTCAAATGTAAAGGTGGGGTTGTGACCCATTATTTCAAATTAGATTTTTCCCCTGATTACAATGCCACAAACCGTTTTTTAAAATCTTGATTCATTCAAAAGTTATGAGGGCTTTTTAAAACTTCATTTTCAGCCCATTTTAACATTGTGCATTTACAAACTAAGACCATAATCTCAAAATAGTGCTAGATAAAGATAAACTGTAACGTCTGTTTTATACACTACCAGTCATTGTCAACATATTTTCTCTTTGCTATGATTGATGTATTTTTTTCGGCCGCCATCTTGAAATGTGACAAATTAATTTGAATATGAAGGTTGGGGTTGTGACCCATCATTTCAAACTACTTTTTTAAGCTAAACTCAATGCCGCAATCATTTTTTTGTTATCAAGTTTTATTTATGAGATATTGCATTTTTTTTGTTTAAAATGTGAATATTTCAAAATCAAAATATGAAAATGAAAAACGGATCATGGAATTGAGTTCAGTTTAAAAAACTAATCCGAAATGATGGGTCACAACACCCCCTTCATATTTAAAATAATTTATCATATTTCAAAATGATAAATAATAACGGATCCAAGATGGCGACCGAAAAAATTACATCAGTCATAACCAAGTGAAAATAAGTCGACAATGACTGGTAGTGTATACTTATCTTTATCTAGCACTATTTTGAGATTATGGTCCTCAATTTGTAAATGCTCAATGTTAAAATGGGCTAAAAATAAAGTTTTAAAAAGCCCTCATAACTTTGAAATGAATCAAGATTTTTTGAAACGGTTTGTGGCATTGTAATCAGGGTAAAAATCTAGTTCAAAATAATGGGTCACAACCCCACCTTTACATTAGAAAAAAATATTTTGCATCCAATATGGCGGATCCAAGATGGCGGCCAGAAATGACCACCTTGTCAAAATGAAGTACTTACCACCCAACAATGTTTGGAAGTGGTGGATTGATATTTGAAAAAAATGTAGAAAAAAGTTGGGGGAGGGACATTTAAAACTCACCCTGTATATGGTTTTGTTTACTTTCGGGCCATTTTCTACTTTACTTTACATTTGCTTTTCTAGTATTAGTGATCCTACCATACATTTTGATATTGCATCAAGAGAAATGACAGTACGTTTATCTTATAACGATGGGATAGTAGCTTATTTTTCTAACCTTTGAATTTTGTTTCAAGTGTTTACTTATTAAATTAGTTCAATATTATATATTTTAAAAACACACCAATTTGATGTTGCAGACAAATGTTGTATATATAATTAAGTGACTATTCACCTTGTTCATCAACAACATAACGTCTGTTCTTCTCGTTGACACTCTACTCTTTGCTGACGATGTGAAGATATACACCGTGGTCTCCAGTGATGAGGACTTTGCTCGCCTGCAGACAAGTCTCAGCAATTTATTGGACTGGTGCATTGTTAATAACATGAAACTAAATCTTTCTAAGTGCTCCGTTATGACCTTTGGCCGTATGCACAACTTGCACCATTACCAGTATACACTGAATAACCAGCCCCTTGGAAGAGTGAATACAATGAAGGATCTGGGTGTCACATTTTCTTCGGACATCTCATTTAATGCACATGTCGATGACATATGCAGAAGAGCTTATAGGATGCTGGGTTTCATCACTAGGTCGACTCGTGGTGTGACAAATGATCTCGTATTAAAAGACTCTCTATTCTTCCTTTGTGCGTCAGCTCCTGGAGTATGCCAGCCCTGTCTGGTCCCCTTACCACCTGGCTCTGATCGATAAGTTAGAGGCTGAGCAGAGGAAGTTTGTGAGACTACTGGGGGTTCGTCAGGGACTGCACTACAGGGAAATTCTATTTGCTGGACTTCAGGCTAACTTTTTCCTCCCTGACCTGGAAGTGAGACGCTGTATAGCAGATGTGTTGTTCCTTGCTAAGCTTATCAGTGGTCAGCTGGACTGTCCCATGCTTCTGTCACAAGTGGACTTCCGCCTTCCATCCAGAACTCGGTCACGTGACTTGTTTAGCAGGCGCCATTACCAGCGTTCCTACGACTTCCACGGTCCACTGGCAAGGATGATGAGGCTTGGGAATGGTCTCTGCGACACGGTCGACCTATTCAGTGACAGTTCAGCTACCATCAAAAGACGGATGCTCGCTACTCCCCGGCATATAGCTGATTGATTCGGTGGATTGAAAGTCTCTTTGCACTTGTTTGTAAATAGTCATTTCTGCTTGTTTTGCATTTGTTGTAATCTCTCCTAATCTTTTTGAAATATCAAACATTTTGCACATATAAAACTATTTGTATTTCTGTATCTGTATTTCTGTATGTATTTCAGTATATTTCTGTATTTGTATTTTCTGTGTTTCTGTATTTATATTTCTGTATTTGTATTCTCTGTATTTTTGGTATGTTCTTTGTATGTAGCCATGTTGCATCATGTCTCCTATAAGTATTGGTTATTTGCCGTTGGAATGAAATAAATAAATAAGTGACACAAGAACTTTGGACAGAGCCTTTTCTGTTCCCACTGGGAAAAATGCATCTTTAGATTATTTCTCTTTGTGACATGGACATTGATTTATTTAAATTTTATTAAAATTTATTTACATCAAGGATAAGCGCCTAATCATGCAGCAGTTTGCATTGGACGAGGCAGTGAAGAATCACCATATCTTCTCTGTGTTCTCTTCCTGTGGCTAGAGGACTTTTGGGCCAGTAAGTTTGTACCATTTGTTTATGATTATGATCCATACCGGTACCGAGTCTGTTCGAGT